AGTTCTACCATATCTAATTTAGTTGGTCAAAAAGTATCAATCCTAAAAGAAACTATGACAAGGCCCGTCCGCAAGTATGGAATTTTACGATCCCGTTTTGGGATTTTTGGTCAGTTTTAAATAATTTTTAAGCATTGTTTTTCAAAAAACCAAATGATTCCGGTCACTCTAGACCCTTCCTAGATCGGTCCAGACGGATTATAACCCCCAATTTTTAGGCCATTTTGAACAATTTTAGCATCACTTAGCTGTCCTATATGGGTTTGGGACACGATTTTTCAGTCATTTCCAGCTAATTTTGGATCAAATCCCGACTTATTCTGTCATTTTCAACGCACTTTCGAGAACGTTACGAGTTTGGCCATTTTAGACCGTTTCTAAATTTTTTTTTTTTTGGAAAAAGTGATTTTTGAGGTTCTCTAGAAGGATTTTTAGACGATTTAGATGAAATTTTTGAACATTTCAAGCAATTTTGGTCGGGAATCGTAGATTTCACAAAGTCTGAAATTCACATTTTTGGCTGAAAATTCAAAAAAAAAAAATGATTTTTTGGGTTTTTTGAAAAATTGATTTTTGAGAAATTTGAAAAAGATTTTACACGAATTTGATGAAATTTTTGGAAAATTCGAGCAATTTTGGGTCTGAAAATTTGGGTTTTGAAAGTCTGAAAATCAGTTTTTTAGCCAAAAATTGTTTTTAAAAAATTTGGAAAACTTTGAAAAAAATAAAGTTTTGAAAAATTGATTTTTGATGATTTTAGCAAGGTTTTAGACTGATTTTGATAAAAATTTCGGTAATTTTGAAGGATTTTGAGTCTAGGGACCTGGATTTTGAAAGTCTGAAATTCACATTTTTGACTGAAAATTCAAAAAAAAAGAAATTTTTAAAAAAAAGTGACTTTTGAGGTTCTCTAAAAGGATTTTCAGACGATTTTGATGAAATTTTTGAAGGGATCGTAGGTTTTAAAAAGTCTGAAATTCACATTTTTGGCTGAAAATTTCAGTTAAAATATTGATTTTTTGGGTTTTTTGAAAAATTGATTTTTGATAAATTTGAAAAAGATTTTACACGAATTTGATGAAATTCTTGGAAAATTTGAGCAATTTTGGGTCTGGAAATTTGGGTTTTGAATGTCTGAAAATCAGTTTTTTAGCCAAAAATTGTTTTTAAAAAATTTGGAAAAAATACTAGCCTAAAAATGCCTGAAAACAGGCTAAAAAAGGCTGAAAATGCATTTTGTCATTTTCAGCAAAATTTGCAACCAATTTTCAGATAATTTCGTCATTTTCTGTTTTTTTTTCTGCTGTCACTTTTCAGACAATTTTTCGATTCATTTCCAGCAACATTTTCATGAATTTCTGACTAATTTCGCCTTACATAGGACCTATGTCTTTTTTTGCCGATTTTTGACCGTCTTTTACTCGAACCCAAGTCACCAACGGCCTAAGTAAAGCCATTTTAGACCAAATTCAGGCTGTTCTAGACCAAATTATAGGCATTTGAGACCAAAACAAATTCCGGGCCGTTCGGACCAAATGTAGGCTTTTCTGGACCAAAATAAAGAACTCTGAACTTTTCTAGGTCCACAGAAACTTATCGATGGCCCGGCCGCGGCCGACCGCGGGCCAACTCTCTCCTAAACCAACTCCCAATAGTTTCAGGTACAATTCATTCCGGTTCAAGTGCAAGCGAATCCAGTGGCTGAGCAACAGCAACAACAACAAAAGAAACAATCGATAATGATGCAGCAGATGATGCAGCAGCCGTCGGGATCGTCTCAACAACACCAGCAACAGCAACAGCATCATGGAATGGAATCGCTGGATCAAGCGATGGATCAGGTTGGATCGGGAATCAGTCATGGGACCAATCAACACGTCCAGCAGGTCCAACAAGTACCCCAACGACGAGAGCCGCTTCCGATTGCACCCGCCGGCATGGTCAGAGCGCCAATCAATGGGGGCGGAGCTTCGACGTCGAATGGCGGCGGAGGTGGAGGAGGAGCGGCTGCACCTGCGATGGCAGCCATGGGTGGACAACAGAGAATCACGTTAGGTGAGCGGTTGTGGTCTAAAATAGCCTATAGAATGGCCCAAATTGGCTGAAAATGGTCTAAATTTGGTCTAGAAAAGCCTATATTTGGTCGAAAAAAGCACAAATTCGGCCTAGAAACGCTTAGATTTGATCCAAAACAGCGAAAGTGTTCGACTCAAAATGACCCAAATTTGGTCCGGAAAGGCTTTATTTTGGTCTAGATTAAGCCCAAATGACCCGAATTAGTTCGAAATGATGAAATGGCCTAATATGGCTCAAACTGAGTCTAGAGAGGTCCGAATTGTTGGATCTAGAAACATCTAAAATTGGCCTAAACACGGTCCAGTTTTTCTGGTCTAGAACAGCTCAAAAGTGGTCTAGAATGGTCGAAAATTTGTATAAAATAGCTTAAATTAGGACTAGAAAGGCCTAAATGTGGTCGAAAATAGTATAAAATTTGATTTCGAAATAGCCGCCCCCCTAAATTCGACTCGAAAAGTCGATATTTTCGATCTGAAATTGGCCTAAAGAAGCCTAAAATTGACCTAGATTCATCTTTCGATTTCAGGAAACCTTCACTTCCAACAAGATCCGAACGATCCACAAAAATGGATCATCACCAACGAGGGACCACCGGCGCCGACGCCTCCGGTTCAGGCTAGAAAGGTAAGGATTTATAGATTTTAAGCTGAGCAATCGAACAAAAAAATTGGTGTGAAATCGGTGAATTTTGGGCGTAGAACAATGGGAGCTTGCTAGCCTTTTTTAAGCTTTAATTTTAAGCTGAGCAATCGGCCAGAAATCGTCAAAACCAGAGTCGTTTTTTGCCTCATGCTCGCCTCCAGAATTAAAGCTGAGCAATCGAACTTTCTATGAATCCGAAAGAAATGGGTCAAATTCGGCCGATTTTTTTGACCCCTGAAAAATTGGAATTTTTGCGTCGAAATTTACTTTTTCGGACCAAAAAAATGGTCGAAATTCACCAATTTTGGCCCGGAAATTGGGATTTTGAGACAAAAAATTACCGTTTAAGGATGAAAAATTGTCGAAATTGGCTGATTTTGCCCAGAAAAAATGGGATTTTTGAGGCAAAAACCCTCTAAAAATCACTAGTTTTTGGGGATTTTCCAGAACCCCCCACAACACCGTCCCCAACAACAAATGCAACAGCACCAGATGGGCGACGAGACGATGATGAACATGTCGGCGGAATACGATTTGAATGGGACGGGACTCGGCGGAGAGGCGCCGAAACGATGCGCATGCACGTGTCCCAATTGTGTACAGAATACTAGGCAGTGAGTTGCAATTTTGAACCAATTTTGATAAGAAATTTGGATTTTTTGGGTTATTTTGGGTGGGAAAAGTTGGATTTTAGGCTGAAATTTTCAGTCAAAATATGATTTTTTTTTTGTTTTTCGAAAAAATGATTTTTGATGATTTTAGCAAGGTTTTAGACTGAGTTTGATGAGATTTTTGAAAAATTCAAGCAATTGGTTAGGAATCGTAGATTTCAAAAAGTCTGAAATTCAAATTTTTGGCTGAAAATTGCAGCCAAAAATGAAAAAAAGGTTTTTTAAAAAAGTGATTTTTGAGGTTCTCTAAAAGGATTTTCAGACGATTTTGATGAAATTTTTGAAGGGATCGTAGGTTTTAAAAAGTCTGAAATTCACATTTTTGGCTGAAAATTTCAGTCAAAATATTGATTTTTTGGGTTTTTTGAAAAATTGGTTTTTGAGAAATTTGAAAAAGATTTTACACGAATTTGATGAAATTCTTGGAAAATCTGAGCAATTTTGGGTCTGGAAATTTGGGTTTTGAATGTCTGAAAATCAGTTTTTTAGCCAAAAAATTTTGTCAGAAAATTTGGAAATTTTTGAAAAAAAAAACGTTTTGAAAATTGATTTTTGATGATTTTAGAAAGGTTTTAGACTGATTTTGATGAAAATTATGGTAATTTTGGGTGAAATGACCTTTTTCAGACTGGTGGGGAAATGGTTTTTTTTTGCTGAAAATTCTGAAATTCTAGCTTCTAAAAATTCGCATTTTCAACTTTTCAATTTTTTCCAGAGGCGACGGAAAATCGCGAATCCACATTTGTCATCTGTGTCAGAAGACGTACGGCAAGACGTCCCATCTTCGAGCTCATCTCCGCGGACACGCTGGTAACAAGCCGTTCGCGTGCGATTGGCAACACTGTAACAAGAGGTTCACCAGGTACTGTAGTTTTTTTTTTGAGACCAAAAATCGGTTTTTCAGAAAGTTTTTGGCTCGAAATAGGCCAAAAATTGGTCCGAAATAGATCTAAAAAGCTAGAAAACGTCTAGAAAAGGCCTAGAATGGGCTAAAAATTAAATGGGCTAAAAATGCCTAAAACTAGCCTAAAAATGCCTTAAAATAGGCTAAAAAATGCCTGAAACTAGCCTAAAAATGTCTGAAAATAGGCTAAAAATGCCTTAAAATGGGCTAAAAATGCGTGAAACTAGCCGAAACTGCCTACAACTAGCCCCAAAATGCCTTAAAATAGGCTAAAAATGCCTAAAAATAGCCTAAAATTGCCTAAGACTAGCCTAAAAATGCCTTTAAATAGGCTAAAAATGCCTGAAAATAGCCTAAAAATGCCTTAAAATAAGCTAAAAACGCCTGAAAATAGGCTAAAATGCCTTAAAATAGCCTAAAAATGCCTTAAAATAGGCTAAAAAATGCCTGAAACTAGCCTAAAAATGCCTTAAAATAGGCTAAAATTGCCTAAGACTAGCCTAAAAATGCCTTTAAATAGGCTAAAATTGCCTACAACTAGCCTACAAGTGCTTTAAAATAGGCTAAAAATGCCTGAAAATAGCCTAAAAATGACTGAAACTAGCCTAGAAATGTCTTAAAATGGGCTAAAAATGCGTAAAACTAGCCTAAAAATGCCTGAACATAGCCTAAAATTGCCTAAGACTAGCCTAAAAATGCCTTTTTTCTAACATTTCGGATATTTAGAAAAAAAAATTACAAATCTGAATTTCGGAATTTTTGAATTTGATGAACTTTTTGAAATTTTAGCCTAAAAACACCTAAAAATTCAATTTTTTTTCCCCCTAATTTTTTCGATTTACAGCCAATTTTCGTCCAAATTTCCAAATTATTTCAGAAGCGACGAACTGCAGCGTCACCGTCGGACGCACACGGGCGAGAAGCGCTTCTCGTGCAATCACTGCGGCAAGAAGTTCATGCGAAGCGACCATTTGACGAAACACGAGCGGACTCATACGTCGTCTCGAGTCAACAATAATAATATCAATGGACACACGCTTCGACTCTCTTAGAACTCGAATTTTGTGCTTTTTTGTGCATTTGGTGGTCTGGGAAATTCAAAATTAGGCCATTTTTCAAAAAATTCGCATAAAAATGAGCCATTTTGAGCCATTTTAGGCCAGCGTTGAGCTATATTTTGAGTCATTTTTCATGAATTTTGAGTCTTTTTTCATGAATTTTGAGTCATTTTTCATGAATTTTGAGTCATTTTTCATGAATTTTAAGCCATTTTTCATGAATTTAAAGCCTTCTATGCCATTTTTAGTTATTTTAAAAAATTTTTGAGCCATTTTAGGTCATTTTCGAGCCATTTTAAGGTGCTGGCCGAGTTTTTTGAATCTTCTAGGCCACCATTTATTTTTCTCTTTTCTCCTCTCTCTCTCTCTCTCCTTCAAAAAACGAGTATTTTTCTGAATTGTTTTGTCCCTCTCTCTCTCTAATTAAAGAAATATATAGTAATTAATTAATTGCTGTTAATTACTTTTAATTACCGAAAAACACATTTTTTCTCGCCTAACAGATTTTTGTGTCTTTTTCTCTCTGTCTGTCTCTCTCCCCAAACAATTTGTGCTGGTCCATTTTTTCGTCTCCAAAAATAACAATTAAAAATGCGTTTTTTTCTCGAATTCTCTGCCTTTCAGTCATATTTACAGTGTCTTGTTCTTCTTGGATTTTCTGTGTCTTTTTGGAATAAAACTTTTGGAATTAAAAAAAATTTTTTTTGGAATTTTTGACAATTCGAAATTTTTGCATTTTTGGGATTTTTTTATTGACTTTTTATTCGAAAATCTCATTGGATTACAGAAAAAAAAAAGTTGAGACTTAATTGGGACGTAATTAGGGGGTGATTAGCGATTCTGGAATTTTGGAAAATCAAAATTCGATTTTTTGGGGAAACTGAAAATTTGGGGAAGTACAGAGATTTTTGGGGAGTAATTAGGAGAAAAAGGAAATTAGCTCTTCAATTAGAGGTAATTTAAAAAAAAACTATTTGGAAACGGTTTTTGGGACACATTTTTGGGAATTTTGGGAACTTTGGGAAATTTGATTTTTCCGAAAAAATCAATTTGCGGGCAATTAAGGGGTTAATTAGGGGTTATTAGTGTCGATGATGGTTGTTGAGTTGATGGTTATGGAGTCGTTGGTTAGTCATAGAGATCCTGAAAGATTTTTGAATTTCTGAATTTCTGAATTTCTGAATTTCTGAATTTCTGAATTTTTGAATTTCTGAATTTCTGAATTTCTGAATTTCTGAATTTTTGAATTTCTGAATTTCTGAATTTCTGAATTTCTGAATTTCTGAATTTCTGAATTTCTGAATTTCTGAATTTCTGAATTTCTGAATTTCTGAATTTCTGAATTTTTGAATTTCTGAATTTCTGAATTTCTGAATTTCTGAATTTTTGAATTTCTGAATTTCTGAATTTCTGAATTTCTGAATTTCTGAATTTTTGAATTTCTGAATTTCTGAATTTCTGAATTTCTGAATTTCTGAATTTCTGAATTTTTTGGAATTTTCCAAAATTTCGATTTTTTGAATTTCGGAATTTGTGAAAAATTTCATTTTTAACGGTTAATAAAAAATTCCGAAATCCTGGACGTTTTTTGAATTTTTGAACGTTTAGAATTCTGAAATTCTGGAATTTTTGAAAATGGGAAATATTAAAAATTCTGATTTTGCGATTCTTCGTCTTTCTGAAAATATAAAATTTTCAAGAATCTAATTTTTCATAAAAATCTGAGAATTTTTCAAATTTGTGATTTTCAAAGTTTCGCAAATTTTCAAAATTCAAAAACTTGAAACATTTGGACACCGAAATATCTGGAAATTCTAGAATCTCAGATTTTCAAAAATTTCGAATTTAAAAATTTCGGAATTGTGCAATTTCAGGATCCCAGAATCGCAGAATTTCGGAATATCAGAATCTCTAGGATCTCAAAATCTCAGAATTTCGGAATTTAAGAATTTGAAATTTCAGGAATCCAGACTTTCAGAATTTCTGGATTTTAGAATTTCTGGATTTCAGAATATCCAAATTTCAGAATTCACACTTTCAGAATTTCAAAATTTCAGTGTCTAAAAATATCGGAATTTCGCGTTTTTGAAAATTCAGAATTTCAGAATCTCCACAAAAAAAATTTCGAATTTCCGAATTTCGAAATCTGAAAATCAGAAAGTTACAAAATTATAAAAAAATTCTGAATTTTCAGATTTTTTCGAATTTTTTAAAATTCGATTTTTCTCGAATTTCCGAATTTCAAAATTTTCGATTTTTTCAAATTTGTGATTTTTGAATTTTTTGTTTCAAAATCTCACAATTTCAGAATTCAAGATTTTCAGAGTTTCGGAATTTCAGAATTGCGAATCCTCAGAATCTCCGAATTTCAAATTTTCGAATTAAAAAAATTCGAAATTCCAGAACTTCAAAATTTCAGAATTCAAGAACCTCAAAATTTTAGAATATCCGAGTTTTGGAATTTCTGAATTTTAGAATTTCAGAATCTCCAAAACCTCAGATTTCCATAATTTCCGAATTTCAGAAATGTTCGATTTCAGATTTCCACAATTTCAGACCACTAACCAATATTTTCGAATTTCGGTTTTTCCATTCTTCACGTCATCCAAAAACTGTAGAATCGGCTCCGCTTCAGCATCATAAGCTTCTTTTCGAATAATTCCAACTTTCAGCTTCAATTGCAGAATTTCCAGATCAGTCTTTGCCGATTGCTCAGCGGAAACGAGTCCTTAAAATACAATTTTTTCTAGAAACTTCTTCAAAAAATTGATCACCAATCAATGCTCTTTTTGCCTTATTCTTATTTTTGCGCTTTTGATTTTTCTTCTTTTTCTTCAAATTCTCTTTCTCTTCTTTTGTGAGCTCTAGAGAAGGTTCCACGACTCCAGCTGACGTGGATGGTCCCAAATTGCAAGGTTCGAGATTTTCAGAAGACGTGACGATGGGCTCAGAAGCTTCTGAAGACACTTCTGGATTTTCATGAGTCAAAACTTCGAGCTCTGATTGGACGGAGACGCTTCTGACGGCTTCAGGAGCTTCAGGAGCTTTAGAGGCTTCCGGATGAGCTTCCACGACGTCTTCTGAGGTTCTGACAACTGGAGAAGCTTCTGGAACTTCTTTTTGAACTTTTGAATTCAAGACGTCTTCTGGAAGATTCTCTGCTGACGATTCAGAATTCGTCTGAACTTTTTGATTTTGAATCGCATTGGCCCGCATGAAGAGCAAAGTTCTGACTTGGGCAGGTGGAAGAATTATGAATTGGTGGCTGAAAATAATTTCAGATTATTCAGGAATTTCGGATTTTCATGTTTGGGTTTTTTTTTGGAAATTTTGAATCAAAATTTTCGTATCAACCAGAAACCGAAATTTATACTCTAAATATTCCATTTGGAATGGGACCTGTCAACTTTGAGCCAATTTATCTCGGCTCCTGTGAAAGGTATCAAAAAATTGTCAACTGATAAAATGTAGCTGATAATATGAGAAATATTTTATCAGTTGACCATTTTTTGATATCTCTTACAGAAAACAAAATAATTCGGCATAAATTGCAGGCGGCTCGACTAGCTCCCAGTGCACACTTTGAGCTCAATTATCTCGGCCCCTGTAAGAGATATCAAAAATTTGCCAACTGATAAAATGTTGGTTACAGTATGACAAACATTTTATCAGTTGACAAATTTTTGATATCTTTCAGGGAAATGAGATAATTAAGCTCAAAGTTGACGAGAACTGTGCAATTTTTCTGAAAAATTGATTTGCAATTTTTGAAGTTCATAGTTTTCGAATTTCCCGATTTTTTCCAAGTTTTGTACTCTTGAATTCTAAAATTTTTTATCTTTTTCGAAATTATGATTCAAAATCTCAAAATCTAAGAATCCAAAGAATCCCGGGATGTCAGATAGTCAGAATTTCGGAATTTCAGAATATCAGAATCTCAGAATCTCAAAATATCAGAATTTAACAATTTTAAAGTTTCAGAATCTCAGAATCTCAGAATCCCGGAATCTCTTGATTGTCAGAATTTCCGAATTTCTGAATTCCAGAATTTCGGGATTTCCAAATCTCAGATTTTCAGAAATTAAGAGTTCCAGCATTTCAGAATCTCTAAAATCTCTAAAATCTCACCTGTCCTCACACCACAGCTCCTTCAGAATTCTTCCTTGCTCATCTCGACAGATTGCAACCAATTTTCCATCCTCCATCATAACTAGAATATTCGTTGCTTCTGATTCCAACTCCGGATTATACTCAACTCCTTGATGGAAAACTTCGATGAGTTCAAAATCCTCCAAATCCAAATAATACAACTCATTGCACAATGTGAATTTATTAAACACATGTATCAGTTTTCTCCCATTCACTTCTTCGACATATTTCGGGAGTAAATGCTCCTCCTCAACCTGATGAGCACACTCCGCACAATCAAAATCCTTGAAATTGCCATTTCCGCAATAAACGAAACGAGATTCCTTCAATCTGAGAGTGTTGTAGTATGCCACATAATATGTGCCTCTATGAACACAAAAATCCGTACGAGAATTCGTTTGGCGCAAGAAATATGGTTCCAGTTCGGGTTTTCCGGGATAACTGCAATGTGGGATTAGGGCATCCATCCATTCGCGATAGAGAACGTTTGATTCGGCGTTTTGGGGGTTATTTGGTTGGGCTGATGTGTTGCGAGCAGCTTTTTCGAGGTTTTGAGAGATCCATGTGCTGAAAAAAGGAGAGGATACAGTATCCATGGGTAAAATACAAAATGTCTAGCTCGTCTAAGAGCTGAGATAAGGCCTATAAAAGTTCAGGGATCTCGACACGCTGAACGAACGAGAGAGCGCAGACAATGAGACACTCTAACTGTCTGCGTCTCTTCAAACTAAAACGCCCATATCTCAACTCCGCGATGAGCTAGAAACTTGGTTTTTTTTCAGATACTTTCTGAGTTTTTTAGAATCAGCAAGTTGTTGGCTCTATATCGTTTAGAGAGACGCCTAATGAAGCTGATACTCGAAAACAGTTTATATTTTGTAACATTTTAAAAAGCTTTTTAAGACCTACAGTTTTCAATTTTAATCATACAAAAAGATTAATTTTGAGCCGAGTTATGCTCAAAATAGTGAATAGTAAGTGCATTTCCACCTAAAACCGTTGTTAATCGTTTTGTACTTCGAGTCAGGGTATTATGGTTAGATGGGTTTCATACCATTTTGCAGCTCTGTTCAAAATCTATGTTTCCCAATTTAGAAAAATCAGAAATGTTGGTTTTGAAACCAGTTATGACCATAATAGTTGACCGAGTACGATTTTTGAATCTAAAGGTTGTGTCGAGCTTATCAACTTCAAGCTAGTTTATGCCAATTTCTGTAGGAGATATCAAAAAGTTGTAACAAACAACAATGTTTGTGATATAATGACAAACATCTTATCAGTTGACAAATTTTTGGTATCTCTTATAGGAAGCGAGATAACTGAGCTCAAAGTTGGCTGGGCTTCGTGCCCTCTCCCCACCTATCACCCGGCGAGCAAGAGCTCAGAACATACGCTCATTTCAAAGCTAATTTCTCAGGGCTCCAAAGATCATGTTTCTAGCTTATCTGGGAGTCGAGATATAGCTTTGAAGTTTTAGGCGCAAGATACTAATACATGCTTTACGGCCTACAAGACATCCCATTCCCTACCTAACACGAGCTTCTGGCATCCAAGTGAATCCTCCTTTTCCATCGCTTTTGTGTTTTACGATTCCACCCGAAGCACTTCTCGAAATTGTCACACTTTCTCCGGTTTCCTTCGAAGTGAACGTTGCCACCAACGCCCCAGTGGCTTTTTTCGTTACCTCGTAAACCCAACCGTTCCGACGATCAAAGACAAACGAATTGGTTGCAAAATCATATCGATATGGCTCAACACGTTCGGAATAGGCGTTTTTGACCATTAGAACCGCTTCCTTGCTTTGTTCGTCGTATTGGGCGTACAACGGAGTTAGGTCACGTTCGGTGATGGGTGGCTGACATTTCGAACACTCATGGGCTAGCAATTTGTCCTGGAATTGAGAATTTGGCCATTTAAAAATGTTCTATGGCTTGTTTCACGTGTTCTTGTCTAAAAATCACATGTCTACGATTTACAGAACTTGAGATACAAGCATTTGAAGTTTTCAAATAGAGAGCGTGGGGAAGGATGGGCGCGTGTCGGTCCGCTGATTACATCACCATCATACTTGTCCACTTTGAGCTCAATTATCTCGGTTCTTATAATAGATATCTATAATTTGTTTGCAACTAAAATGTTTTTCATAAGATTATCTACATTTTGAATGTTAACAAAGTTTTGCTATCTCTTTTAGTAACAGAGATAATTTGGTTCAAAGTGCATGTAGCATTCTATGAGAGCTTTCATGATGTTTCTCTTCGCCTCTTTATCCCTCTCAACCTAGATAAAGTAAAATAATATATGTTATATATCATG